TGTTTTTCACACTTCGAACTGTGATCAATTTTTGTGATCTTCTCACAAGCAAAGTCAACTGTGTGACTAATTTAACAAACGCAGTGATTCGCTTAACAAATCCGGCAAGGAAGTTTGAAAAAACAAATGGGCAAAATTTCATTTAACAAATGTTTCACTTAGCAACGTAATTGTTGGGCTAAATTCTGTGGCCGTCAGTCGAGGGCCGTCTGTAGAATCTTAGATATCTTCAAATGTTTTCTTGATCTGTTTTTCGTTTTCTTTGTACGCTCCTGTAAATACTCTTTTAAATTCGAATCGGTGGATTGATTATAAGGTTTTATAGCTGTAGAATTAAGCATCCGTCCAATGCATTCTAAAAATTGATCTTCCATATGTTGGAAGGAATATCCATCTGGATCACTTCCAAGCTGGGAGAAAGATACTGGAAATAAAAGGGAGGCTGGATTAGAAAGAAAGGCCCATATATTGATAAACAGATAAACAGGGTTTGTGGTTCTGGGGCAACTGACCCATTGGGTTTGATGAGCAGGTGGATTTTTATAAATTCCAAAGATGCTGCTAGGGGGTTTTGTAGATTGTCTGAAATGCCCTTATTGTGCAACTGTGAGCTCTGTATCTTCTGCTAAGTGGTAGTGGGTTAATCCTATTAAAGGGTGGCTCAGTGGCTAAGACGCTGAGCTTGCCGATCAGAAAGGTTGGCAGTTCGGCAGTTCGAATCCCTAGCACCACCTAACAGAATGAGCTCCTGTGGCTTATCCCAGCTTCTGCCAACCAAGCAGTTTGAAAGCATGTAAAAAAAGCAAGTAGAAAAATAGGGAAGGTAACAGCGTTCCATGCGCCTTTGGCGTTTAGTCATGCCGGCTACATGACCACGGAGACGTCTTCGGACAGCGCTGGCTCTTCAGCTTTGAAACGGAGATCAGCACTGCCCCCTAGAGTCGGGAATGACTAGCACATGTGTGCAAGGGGAACCTTTACCTTTACCTTAATCCGATTATGCCCTGAAAGGTCGTGTTCCTCTTCTTAATCCCATCATCCTAGAGCTGACAGTCTTTTATTTTGTAGATAGGCTGGCCCAGTTTTTCTTAATGGACCTCAAATATCTGCTGGGTGCTATTAAGACTGAGTCTGCTTTCTGTCTTTAAAAACATCTTTCTCCATTTCTCCCCTGGGGGAAATATATTTCCCGAAATATTTCATTCTTCTAAGAGTGGGAGGGGGGGGGGGCTTCCCACACAAATATAACCGCAGGGCAGCCAATTCTATGGAATAAGAAATTTGGCTGTCTTTCTCACAGACTGATTTCTGTTAACCATCAAGCTGATTTTCATTCGCCCGAGGGGGACCCATTTTTATGACAATTTTCTTCCATCCATTATAGACGTCATTATGTAATTTAAGAGTCTGCATTTCCAGGGTGAACCGAGTCACGATGAAGGTTTATGGCTCTACGCTGTAAGCTCTCTTGATGCTGAAACTGGATATTTCTTGTTCTGAACTAGACTTCCCAAGAGCATGAAGCAAACTCCTTGTCCCGACAATAATCCCTTTTATTAATTGACTATGAATTCTGCTCATCCACATCCAGCAAAGTCTTTCAAGGGAGGATTTATGGGCACAGACCTTCTCTGTCTTGGAGTGCTGAAAGGCCGATAATCTGCAAAACTTGGCAAAGAGTCTCGGAGAGTCACGAACCAATTAAGGGAACTGATTGTCTCCTGCAAACTCCACTCCCCTTTCGCTCCTCTTTTATTTCCTCTGGGAGGGGCCATTCATCGTCCACCTGTGGCCTCACTCCCCAGTCAACCCCCACTGGGAGTTATGCGCTGCCCTCTGGAGCCTCCAGAGTCGGACATCAGCGAGGCAGAGGAAAAGGGTCCCCCTGTTCCCATTGTGTGCATGCGCAAAGCTGCCAGAAGGAAAGAACGGTTAAGACAGAAGGGACGACTCGGGAATAAGGCTTGGAGGTGATTGGCCCCTCCCTTAGAACATAAAGGAGGAGCAAAGGAGGTGAGCCTTTGCAAGATGCAACTTTGTTCGTGCTGGTTCGGTTTGCATTCCGAAGCTCCGTTATGAGTCTTTGCTCCATGTGGCCTTGCCAAGCTAATTGCCAATTAAGTCTTTGGAAGCATTTCTAGGAAGATAGAAA